TTTCCCTACCCTTCCAAATATACTTGCAGCATGATGCCTTCTTCTAATGTTTTGAATCTTTCCAAGGGCTGTGATTTCCATCTTTATCTATTGTGGATTTGTAGATTTTAAAAAAATACTCTCATCTTACTTTAAAAAAATGGATTCATTCGTTGTTGCCCTTAATTCAAATAGCCTCCTGATAAGCTTTGAACTTTAACCACTAACATAGGAGAATGAGAGTTAAACAGATTAAAGAATGAGTATTAAGCAGATAGTTTAAACATAGCTTAAAAGCATCAGATTTTTTTTCCCACTTCCTATCCTTGAGCAAATAAATAGTTCAGCTGAAGTCGATGAGCGGGTATACCAGTAATTCTGTGATTAAACTCAACCTAATACAGCACCAGAGAGACGGAAGAGGATTGCTGCTGTGAAGTCGACTGAATCAGTGAATTTAGGAAGAAAAAATATACAATGTAATTTCTCAAATAGAGTCCAAATACACTATCTATGTTTTAATGTAATGAAATGTTTCAGATATTTAAATTCAGTCTCTGTTTCTACTCCATAAAAGAAACAGTAGAAAGAGGACCAAATTTGGAGCCAGTCATTATCAGACCTGAGTTCAAATCCAGTTTCTGCCATTTACTAGCTGTGTGGCCTTCAGGGTGTCACTCAGCCTCCTTGAACTTTAATTTCCTCATCTGTAAAATGGGGATGATAATACCCACGTTAAAAATTAGAGAACGTGGCATGTGGTGGATGCTCGATAAATGGTGGCAATAATTATTAATATTAGATAATAATATATTTTCTCTTATGATAAATAGGGTTTAGAATACACACTAAGTAGCACTTGGGGTGCATCAACTTGTGAGACTTTCGCCATGATATCAAATAAAAGGCAGAAAAGCAGGCATGTATTAAAACATACCATGTACTCTATCATGCTGATCTTATATTTTATATTCTGATCATCTCATTTAAAGATGCTGTGACCTTGGAGTAGGTTGCTTAGCATCTCAGTGTGTTTCTTAATAAGATGGTGTCGATCTCTCCAGCTTTCCCTCTAAGGACAATTATGACATTATCTGAGTTCAGTCAGACTGTAAAGTAGAATGGTCCCTACCACCGGGCACTTTTTGTATGCCTTTTCCTTAAACATATGTTTATTTTTATTTCTGTTCCAAACAGGGAGAATTTAAGGTGTCAGAGAGGTACCTCACCATGGGCGACCTGAGCACAGCCGTGGAGGAAAACCGCGTGAGGGAGATGTTCGGTTCTGGTACCGCCTGTGTTGTTTGCCCAGTTTCGAATATACTGTACGAGGGTGAGGTAAGACACTGTTTCTTCACTTCCTATCATTTTCAAACATTTGCCTGTAATGTAATTCTTTAAATATGTGGACAAAGTGCTAGTTGGACCCAGGATGCAAAGGATTTTTTAAAGAAGTTAGCGTTCTGTTAACTGTGGCAGTTTGTCCCGATGAACTTGTGTTAGCAAATGACTTACTCATCTTTCCAGTGGTTTCCTGTAAACTCCAACAGTTTTCTGTCCTTCGTTATCATACCTGCCTTACATCAGTTTAGGGATTGGAGGTGTACCAGTAGACTTACACTCATTTCTTTCTGTCATCTCACTAAGGAAGGTTTTACAACTAAGTGAAATTTCAGTCTCTGGTTTCCAAAAGTACTTCTAAACTACTGGAGTAGGAATAGCAAATTATTAAAGAAAACTCATTTGAATGATCAACTCCTACACTTTTCATCTTCATCATCATCATCATCATTATTAATTAGACCACTTCATAAAAAATTTTCATTTGGCAAACCTCATGGCATTTACTAAAGTCTTTCAGAAGGAATTCAAGCATTTAGTTAGAAGAAATTTCCTCCTAGTAAATTAATCTTGTTTATATGTGCTGTACATCCATTTTCTTGTTAGTTTTTTTACTTTCCTCTTTACAACACAGCTCCAATACTTATGATTAACATCGTCATCTAACTTCATAATTCAGAGGCGTGTGGGCATTATTTTTATAATGTGAATTGGCTTAAATTACTCATAATAAATACAAATTCTATTGCTTTTTTGGGGTTTTGTTTGTTTTGTTTTTGGCTGCATTGGGTCTTCGTTGCTGCGCGTGTGCTTTCTCTTGTTGCAGCGAGCGGGTTCTCATTGCAGTGGCTTCTCTTGTTTCAGAGCTCGGGCTCTAGGCCTGTGGGCTTCAGTAGTTGTGGCACGCGGGCTTAGTAGTTGTGGTGCACGGGCTTAGCTGCTCCGTGGCATGGGATCTTCCCGGACCAGGGCTCGAACCTGTGTCCCCTACATTGGCAGGTGGATTCTTAACCAGTGCGCCACCAGGGAAGTCCCTTCTATTGGTCTTTTTTTTTTTTTTTTGACGTTTTTATTGGAGTATAATTGCTTTACAATGGTGTGTTTAGTTTCTGCTTTATAACAAAGTGATTCAATTATACATATGTTCCCATATCTCTTCCCTCTTGTGACTCCCTCCCTCCCACCTTCCCTACCCCACCCTTCTAGCTGGTCACAAAGCATGGAGCTGATCTCCCTGTGCTATGCGACTGCTTCCCACTAGCTATCTATTTTACGTGCCACTCTCTCACTTCGTCCCAGCTTACCCTTCCCTCTCCCCGTGTCCTCAAGTCCATTCTCTAGTAGATCTGCATCTTTATTCCCATCTTGCCCCTAGGTTCTTCATGACCTTTTTTTTTTTAGATTCCGTATATATGTGTTAGCATACGGTATTTGTTTTTCTCTTTCTGACTTACTTCACTCTGTAGGACAGACTCTAGGTCCATCCACCTAACTACAAATAACTCGATTTCGTTTCCTTTTAAGGCTGAGTAATGTTCCATTGTATATATGTGCCACATCTTCTTTATCCATTCATCTGTCAATGGACACTTAGGTTGCACCCATGTCCTGGCTATTGTAAATAGTGTCTCAGTGAATATTGGGGTGCATGTGTCTTTTTGAATTATGGTTTTCTCTGGTTGTATGCCCAGTAGTGGGATTGCTGTATCATAACGTAGCTCTATTCTTAGTTTTTTAATGAACCTCCATACTGTTCTCTATAGTGGCTGTATCAATTTACATTCCCACAAACAGTGCAAGAGGGTTCCCTTTTCTCCACACCCTCTCTAGCATTTATTGTTTGTAGATTTTTTGATGACGGCCATTCTGACTGGTGTGAGGTGATGCCTCATTGTAGTTTTTTTTTTTTTTTTTTTTTTTTTCCGGTACTCGGGCCTCTCGCTGTTATGGCCTCTCCCATTGCGGAGCACAGGCTCTGGACACGCAGGCTCAGTGGCCATGGCTCACGGGCCCAGCCGCTCCGCGGCATGTGGGATCCTCCCGGACCGGGGCACGAACTCATGTCCCCTGCATCGGCAGGCGGACTCTCAACCACTGCGCCACCCAGGAAGCCCCTCATTGTAGTTTTGATTTGCATTTCTCTAGTGATTGGTGATGCTGAGCATCGTTTCATGTGTTTGTTGGCAATCTATATCTTCTTTGGAGAAATGTCTATTTAGGTCTTCTGCCCATTTTTGGATTGGGTTCTTTGTCTTTTTCATGTTGAGCTGCATGAGCTGCTTGTATATTTTGGAGATTAATTCTTTGTCAATTGCTTCGTCTGCAAATATTTTCTCCCATTCTGAGGTTGTCTTTTCATCTTGTTTATGGTTTCCTTTGCTGCGCAAAAGCTTTTAAGTTTCATTAGGTCCCATTTGTTTATTTTTGTTTTTATTTCCATTTCTCTAGGAGGTGGGTCAAAAAGGATCTTGCTGTGATTTATGTCATAGAGTGTTCTGCCTATGTTTTCCTCTGAGAGTTTGATAGTTTCTGGCCTTACATTTAGGTCTTTAATCCATTTTGAGTTTACTTTTGTGTATGGTGTTAGGGAGTGTTCTAATTTCATTCTTGTACGTGTAGCTGTCCAGTTTTCCCAGCACCACTTATTGAAGAGGCTGCCTTTTCTCCACTGTACATTCTTGCCTCCTTTATCAAAGATAAGGTGACCATATGTGCATGGGTTTATCTCTATTCTGTTGGGTTTTTTTTTTTATTATTTTGCGGTACGCAGGCCTCTCACTGTTGTGGCCTCTCCCGTTGTGGAGCACAGGCTCTGGACGCACAGGCTCAGCGGCCATGGCTCACGGGCCCAGCCGCTCCGCGGCATGTCGGATATTCCTGGACCGGGGCACGAACCTGTGTGCCCTGCACCAGCAGGCAGACTCTCAACCACCGCGCCACCAGGGAAGCCCCTATTCTATTGGTTCTTAAATTCAACATTATAATTATTTTTCGCTCAGCTGGGTGGATTGATTTTTTTTTTTTCCTGCTAATTTTAATGGTGGTTGCTTCATTGCTTGAGATTTTCAAACTTGGCTCCAGACATAATTCCATCTACACATTGATTTTTCAAGGGAGATGAATTATTCTATTATATATGAATGCTTACACTGATTATAAAGCTACTGTTTCACATTTTACTATGGTAGTATCTAGGTAATATATTATCAGTCCACTTTTTAAATGAACTAAAGTTGTCATTAGGTCAGATTTTTAAAGTCCAATTATTACTTCTCCTCCAGAATTATGTTAATAAAGTTTAACACATTTTTATGGTTTTGTTTTAGGGAGCCATTCAGAGCCAAAAGGTCCATCGAATTATCCTATTATCCTAAAGGGCATAATAAGAAAAGTAAGAGTACGGACTCTCTACTAAAATCAAACTATCAAAAGCCTGCAAGCCAGCGAGGCATAAATGGGCATGACTCAAAGTATAAATTAGGGCACATAAAATCTCTGTGCCCTGAATTTAACCATGCTGTCCAACTTCGTGGAATTTGTGGCCCCTTTAAGTTTGGCTTAGAACAGACAGATTTGGCAGCCCCTTTTGTGAAGACATGGACTTGCTTCAATTTATGTCCCTGAAATGACTTGCTTTAATTTGTGGCACACTGTCTTTTGAGGTCTCATTCCCTGCCAAGAGGGTTAGATGTGGAGGCTAATCATTCATCCTCATAGATTCTTAGGATGCTGGAAGAGGTAGGGTTCTTTAAGTTTAGCCCCTATTCTAGGTACCCCTGCTTCTCATTCGTTCCTCAAATCAGCCTGAAGACTGGCATGTAAACCAGTTATGCCCTGAAATCAGTTGGTAGGAAACGAACAACCTATCACTGGCTAGTTCATTTTTATTCAAATTCAGAATAGAAAAGAATCTTTGGCATAAGGAGCTAGCATCCATAATGAGGTTACCATAGTGCCATTCCTTATTTCAGTAAAATTGCTGAGTTTCTTACTTGTTGTTACTGTGTACATGAATATCCTCAAATGATTTTGTGTCTGGTTTTCTTTCATAGACTATACACATCCCAACTATGGAGAATGGGCCTAAGCTTGCAAGCCGCATCTTGGACAAATTGACTGATATTCAGGTAAGGGCTTCTATTTTTAAAATGCTGTCTTTTTTTCATTCAAAGCCTAGAACCAAATCATACTTCAGTGGAGAGAAGAGAGTAAGTGCTACCATCTGGGGTCAGCAAATTAAATTTAAGGAAGATGTTCCCAATAGTATGTGTGGACATGAGCAAAGCAGAAATGAGAAAAAAGATACACAGTTTAAAAAAAAAAAAGGAAGGAAAGAAGGGGGGGGGAAATATATATATATAGTCAGGGACTCAATTACTTAACATTTTTAAAAAGTATATAAATTTTGATAACACTTAAAAATCTCAGGCTTCTTATAAAAGAAAAGACTTTAAAGTAGAAGAAAGCACAGAAAAAAAGTAATATTACCTGTGATTACATCACAGATAAAATCACGTTTAACTTTTGATATCTCAACTTTCAGTGTTTTGTAAGCACTCAATGTATTTTTAGATAGATATTTTTCTGACAGTGGGATCGTACGTAATTTTGTTAACCTGCTTTTTTTCGATTAATAAATCATTTGCTTTTTCGTATCAATAAATTTTAAAATTCTACATATAAAGTTTAATTAAATTCCACTATGTTGATATACCATAATTTTTAAAGAAATCTTATTATTGAACATTTAAGTTGTTGGAAATTCTTTCACTATTATAAACAGTGCATCCTTGATTTTTTCCTTAGGATAAATTCCTGGGATTGTAATTATCAGGTCAAAGAGTATGCACACCTAGTTTTTAATACTGCTAACTTCGTTTTGCCTATTTTTTCTGAGCAGCAATCTACAGTAATGTGATCAGGCAGTTAAGTGTCTTTCTAGGTAGACATATCATATACCAGGTAAACCTGGGTCACCTATAAAAGATATTGTTCTAAAGTTTGCTGAGCCCGGATGCCATCGTTGCCAGTCAGTGAAAGTACCCGAGGGAGCTGAGATTCATACTGAAATGTGAAATGAAGTTTGATAGATTGGGTGACATCAAATGGTGTGGGGTCTTAAAAAGTAAGCAAAAATGTAAAGTTGGTTGGGAAAGCAGCAGGTCCCTACAGAGAACTTTGGATGAAAATGCTATTTTTTTGAAGAGTTAGCAACTTTTATGCAAAATTTATAGCATTAAAAGAAAAGAATTATTGTGCTTTTAGAACCAAAGGGTTGTCTTACACTCTTCAATAGAAGTGTTCTATAGGAATTTTCTGTAAGCTAAATAAAGGAATATCTTAACATTGAAGACTTAAAATTTATTCAGAGTTGGTTTCTACATAGAACCAATCCAAAGTAATTCGAAGTAATTTAATAAAAATTTCTGCATGGATGGTTCATGTATTTTTATTTTTAGAGTTGTCTGGGTAAGATTACAGAAGCCAGGAATGTAGGTGAGGGAAGTGAATGCTTTTGATTCATTCATTCAACAGATAACATAGTATTGAGCACAAACTGTGTGCCAGAGGCAGTTCCAGGTGCTGGTGATAGAGTAGTGGAAAAAGTGGCCGAAAAACTGGAGAGGTCAAAGCACACTGATATAGACAAAAGACAAATTTATTCAATTTAAATGTGAGACCATATCTAAAGGTTTAAAAATAAAAGTTATATATGAAGCAGAAAACGAGAAGAAATAGACCATTTTCCTCTTACCTGTGTACATGCTCTATATAACTTGGTGCTTGTGGCCAAGAAGTTAATACTCTAGGTAATAAAGTATAAATGGTAGTAACACTAAAAACTAATGAGACGTTCAGAGCTCCATACTGAACAAACAAACAAGGGGATACATGAGAAAATACAAGGATTCTGAATTAAACTACAAACCAGAAGCACCAAATCTGCTCCAAATTGTTAAGTAACAAAGGACCATCCACTTGGAATCTAAGACCACCTCTTCAATTATTTTGTGCCTGTGGGCATGGAACCTACAGTTTCGAAATTACTCTCTTACACGCTGGCAAATTGGAGCTGTCAGCCAAGGTACTAAATTGTCTGTTTCTCTCCAAGAAAAATAATTGAAGTATAATTATTGAGGAAAAAGCGTAGCATTGCATCATGTTTTACATTTGATCTCTTTGACATTGCATGGAAACGGGCTGTTTCCTCCAAAGTGCTCTGGTGAATTGAAGAAGAGAGCAACAATAACCAAGAAACCTCAAGGTTCCTACAGTGTGACCTAGACGGGAAGATACCTTGTTAACCACAGATCTGATTTTTATTTGACTTGTGTACTTCTGTATACAAGTAAGAATCTCTGAGGTTGAGTGTTCATCCCATTTGGCTAATTATCCACATAGTTCCCTGGGTCTTAGATTGCCCTACAAATACCTCTTAGGAGGGGGACATTTCAGATGACAGGATTCTTTTGTTTTTGTTTTAAATAAGTTTGTTTGTTTATTTTTGGTTGTCTTGGGTCTTGGCTTTCCCTAGGTGCTGCGAGCGGGGGGCTACTCTTCGTTGTGGTGCACAGGCTTCTCATTGCGGTGGCTTCTCTTCTTGTGGAGCACAGGCTCTAGGCCCCGGGGGTTTCAGTAGTTGTGGCATGCGGGCTCTAGAGCGCAGGCTCAGTAGATGTGGCGGAGGGGCTTAGTTGCTCCGTGGAATGTGGGATCTTCCCGGACCAGGGCTCGAACCTGTGTCCCCTGCATTGGCAGACAGATTCTTAACCACTGCGCCACCAGGGAAGTCTTGTTTTTCTTCTTATTTCTTTTTTTTTTTTTAATGCAACAAGGAAAAACACTTCTGTGTTCATACTTATTAACCAGACTTGAACCTGGAGAACATCGCCACATTGCCCACGTTTCCCCTCTCTCCCATTGCTCTTTGCTATTCCAGTTACCATCATCTTCACCTTTGCCGCTGCCATTTGGGGTCTTCTCTGTCATCCAATGTGCTCTGCTCTCTGCTGCTTCCTTTCTGCCTTTCTGTATCTTCTGCAGTTTTCCCACTTGATAAGGTGTTGGTTATCCTTTGAGACACATCTCCTTTAGGAATCTTTTCAGTCTCTTGAACAGCGTCCCTTTCCCGCAGTACAAACACATATTCACCCACTTAAGTGCTGCTTCATCCTCCAGCTTCCATGGCCCCTGGTATGATCACGTATGACCGTTTTTTTTTTTTAATGGGAATGACATTTATTCCTTTTCCAAATGTTACAGTAAAACCAGGTGGAAGAGAATGGTTTTAGCAGTTAGGAAAAAAAAAAATTACAGATCTGGGGTTTGGCCATTAAGTTATTTACAACAATGGGAGGGGGGAAAAAAAGACAACAAGAAGTTGTTTCACATCACGTACCTCCCCTCGACCCCAAAGCTTAATACTTGCTTACCAAGTCAAAAAAGAGACACAGTTGATTCACAAGCTGGAGGTTTGAACTTGAGTAAGACATTTATAAAAACCTAGACAGGGGCAGTGTCCTCCCCAGCCCAGGGGCCACTAGGCACAACACGAGACTAAAAACTCAACAGGGGAAGGCTGGCCACTCAGGGTTTGGGAGTATAGCTACCACTACATGGGGCTCAGGGATTTGGGGAATAAACAACACCTACTTGGAAGAAAACCAGCAACTGCTTTCTGCACTGGTGGGGACAGGGAAGGAGGCAGGGACAGGGGCAGGAGCATTTCACATCACTAACCCAACTTGGGAAACTGCAAGGGACCATCTTCAACTGGCCTTAAGGGGAAGACCAGGTGGACGATGGGAGAATCCACAGGAGGGAGAAGAGGAGCGGGAACGTGGCGAGGGGGCAACAGCCCCTTCCTTTCTGGGCGCAGGAAGGCAGCCAGGGCACCAGGTCCAGGCAGTGACCACAAGGACAGCGCAGTTTTCTGCAGCTTAGAGATCACCCAGCTACTCATTCTGCCCGCCCGCTGGTGTAGGGCCCCCAGCGGCGGATGGCTGTGCGCCCGGGCCCTGCATCAGCCTCTCCCCTGTGGCCTGGGGCTCCTGGCTCTCGGGTGGCGGCAGCCTTCCCTCCCTGGGCGGTGCCTCCCTCGCCGCAGGCACCGACCCCCCCTGCTCCTGGCCCTTCCTCTGTGGGTGACGAGGCAGACGGATGCCCCCTGTCCCCTCCCTCCGATTTCTCTTGAAGGCCAGGCCGCTCAATTTGAAAGGTTTCTTGAAAGAGAATTTCTTCTTCTTGGGGGGTCTCCTTGGGCGGGACCTCCCCCTTGGCCTCAGCGCCCTGGCTAGGGGGTGCCGGCTCGATGGCATCGCCAGTGGACCCGGTTGCCTCCTCTGTTCCGTTCACAGGGGGCGACTCCTTCACCTTTGGGGGATGCGTCTGCATGGCTTTTCGCCTTGCCGTCCTCCTGTCCGCTGACCGCCTGGCTCACGTCGCCTCGGGGAGCCTTGGAGCTCTGGCTGCCCATGAGCTGCCCCGGGCAGTGGATCTTATCGAGCAGTGAGTCTTATCCGATGGGGTGGACCTGGCCGGCAGGAGGGATGGCGCCTGAGGGGGAGGGTTGGCGGAGCAGATCCCGAGCTGCAGCTCCGCTTCACGCTGGGATGCCCCACATATGACCTTTATAGTATGTTCTAATTAGTCACACAGTTACCTTTGTTCTGTGGTTGTCTGAGGGTGGGCATTGTCTTATTCTCTTTTGGTAAACCTAGTGTTAGGTACAGGGCCTGGGTCCCTACACACTCAGTACATAGTGCACACTCAGTACATAATGTTTCTTAAATAAAGGAATGAATAAAGGTGATTGACACACCAAGCAAGTACTAAAGAGTAAAGATGTGTTGCCTTTTGCATATTAACACATTCTGAGAAGAGATGGGAGGAAGGTCTTGAATAACGTCAAATTATTTTTCAAAAACACCTTCAGAGAATCTGATTTAGGTCTTTTCAGAGTGAGATAAACATCAACTGCTGTCAAGATCAGATAAAAGCTGGAACCCGGGTCTTAAATATCAGGGTAGCATGTTTGACTAACTAGCAATGCTGCTATTACCATTTCAGAAAGTGGGAGGAGTGATTGCCAAGACCCAGAGGTGGACACCTTCAACAGTTTAAAATAAGGGAAGCTGAATGGGATAGAAGCAGGATCTGTGTTGAGTGCACGTCACCAGATAGAATTTCAGAAATCTGTTTTCCCACCAGTGGCTACAACTTTGTAAGAATCAATGGCCATTAGTTGTTACTGTATTTTTCTTGTTTTCAGTGGAACAGCTTGATGACTTTAGTTCGGGAAGTTAAGGAGTCCCACCCCTTTTGTGTGCAGACTTGGTAAACATTCCAGATTGCCTTGATGGCTCAGTCCCTTGACCAGCTTCCCAGCCCCTCCTTGTTCCCTAATCCACACTTCTCCCCTTGTTATGGGATCACAGAGCTTTGCATGGCCATCGAATGCTATTTAGAACCAGGATGGCAAAGTGCTACCTGGTGAGCAGTGCTGGTTATATTTCTTTTGGCCTTGTGGAGAGTAAGTACCTGATGTGAAGATTCACCTTTTATGTTGCTAAGAATTTTCTGCTGAATGTAGAAAGTATTTTAGCGAAGGCCTTGTAAAATTTGCCATACATGCATTGAATGCAAGTAATAAGCTTGTCATTAGTCATGTTTTTTTATTTTTTAAAAATATTTATTTACTTATTTATTTGGTTGCACCAGGTCTTGGTTGCGGCAGGCAGGGTCCTTAGTTATGGCATGTGAACTCTTAGTTGAGGCATGCATGTGGGATCTAGTTCCCTGACCAGGGAGCGAACCCGGGCCCCCTGCATTGGGAGCACAGAGTCTTAACCACTGCACCACCAGGGAAGTCCCATTAGTCATGTTTTAGTTCAGTGTTCTAATTGGAATTGATGAAAAGGTAAAAATTCTGCTCATCGCACTGAGCCTTCCAGGTGGACTCAAAGTACCATCCTACAGGCTCGATTTGACTTGCTGCGTTGCAAACGTTAAAGGTGTGGGACTGCCACTGTGGTTGTGTTAACGACACTGCCAGTGGTATAAGGACAGCCTGGCTCATGCAGATGAGTGTTTTCTTGCCCCTGCTTCTCTGGACACCTCTTGAGGAAAAATTTCTATCCCTGCTAAAATCTGTCATCTCCACTCTGAATTATTTTGCCTTGGAAAATTAAATGACATTATCCATCATTGAAATGAAAGGTGATTGGTAACCACCTAGGTCTAGATATTATGAATTACCTGCATTATCACATCTCTTGGATACATCTCAGAATGCTATGATTTTACATAAAAGCATAAATTATAGGATGAGAGAGATAAACAACACATATTCTGCAGGTTCATAGAATTACACAGCCTATGACTGTCATTGTATTGAAAATTGATCTTGATGTTTTTAAAACTAAAACAACTAATTGAAAACAAATTCACTTTAACTGGTGAGATTCAAGATGAAATTATAGTGGTCATGAATCATAAGTTTTGTAACAAGATCTGCTAAAATGTCAATATGCTGACGCCCAATTATTATTAATGACTACAGTGTCTGATGTATTAATGGGAATCCACATAAGAAAAATATGTATTTTGCTCTTACCCCTAAGTTGTGTCGCCACCATCTATAAATCAGGCAGAATTCGGGAATGTTTTATCCAGCGTTCATCATTAATCGACATAGTCAACAGTGGGGGGCCACCGTCTTTAGGCAACCCTTTCTGATGAGGATTAAGCAAGTCACTTATAGTCGTTGGGCTTCCTTCATTCTCCTTTTCATGTAAACCAGAAGGTTGTAGGTGGACCCATTCCTGGCTTCCAGTTATTTTTACCAATTTGATAGATTCTGTTCTCCGAGGTCTTTTTTAAAAATTATTTTTAATTAATTAATTGGTTGTGCCGGATCTTTAGTTACGGCAGGCAGGCTCCTTAGTTGCAGCTCTTGGGCTCCTTAGCTGTGGCATACGTAATGTTAGTCACGGCATGCACGTGGGATCTAGTTCCCTGACCCAGGGATCGAACCCAGGCCCCCTGCATTGGGTGTACGGAGTCTTAACCACTGCACCACCAGGGAAGTCCCCTCTGAGGTCTTCAAAGTTCTTTAACAGGCACCCAGCACATGGACATTGTGATGTAGAAGGAATAGCATTACACCGAGGCAGAACTGGGCTGTGGTTAAGAGCTTCCTAGAAGAGAACAGACTTGTGGTTGCCAAGGGGGGCAGTGGGGTGGGGGAGGGATGGATTGGGAGTTTGGGGTTAGCAAATGCAAACTATTATATATAGAATGGATAAACAACAAGGTCCTACTGTATAGCACAGGGAACTATATTCAGTATCCTGTGATGTACTGCTATATTTATTTATTTATTTATTTTTAATTTATTTATTTTTGGCTGTGTTGGGTCTTCATTGCTGTGGCTAGCAGGGGCTACTCTTTGTTGCAGTGTGCAGGCTTCTCATTGCAGTGGCTTCTCGTTGTGGAGCACGGGCTCTAGGCACGTGGGCTCAGTAGTTGTGGCACGCAGGCTCTAGAGCGCAGGCTCAGTAGCTGCGGCATACAGGCTTAGTTGCTCCACAGCATGTGGGATCTTCCCGTACCAGGGCTCAAACCTGTGTCCCGTGCATTGGTGGGCAGATTCTTAACCACTGCGCCACCAGGGAAGCCCCTGTACTGCTATATTTAAAATGGATAATCAACAAAGACCTACTGTATAGCACAGGGAACTCTGCTCAATGTTATGGGGCAGCCTGGATGGGAGGGGAGTTTGGGGGAGAATGGATACATGTATATGTGGCCGAGTCCCTTTGCTGTGCACCTGAAACTATCACAACATTGTTAATCGGCTATACTCCAATATAACATAAAAAGTTTTTTAAAAATCCTGTGATAAACCATAATGGAAAAGAATATGAAAAAGAATATATGTATAATTGAATCACTATGCTGTACTGCAGAAATTAATATAATATTGTAAATCAACTTTACTTCAATAAATTTTTTTTTTTTTCAAGAGTTTCCTTGAGCCTCAGTGTCCTTAAATGAGAAGCTGGGCTTAAAAGTTCATTGCTCTTCACACTTGATTTTTAAGCCATAGAAATTTTCTACAAATGAAACCTTTCCCGGAATCCCACTATATAAAACCAGTAGAAGTGGAATTGCTCTGAAGTGAAATCCAGAGCCCCACTTATATGGCTCATCCCCTGCATGCTAGCTGGTCATTAATGTTCTTTCCAGTTCAGGAATTCTGCTGTTTGTGTTCATTTCAACTCAAGTTATATTAGTGCTAAAGAGGCAATTCATGTGGAAAGGGGACATGATCTGAGAAGCTAAATACAGAATGGCAATGAAAAGGCGTATATAAGGGACCTATACCAGCTATAAATCTGAGCTCCACAGTAATTATAAAATTTGTGATTCTTTCCAAGTATTTGTTTACACATAGTCTTATTTTCAACGTGAATATGCTTTTAATGTTCAAAACAGAAGTGAACCTTTTGTACAACGTTGGTTCTATCATTAAATTTATTTATAAGCTGTTCCTGCGCTGTGAGTTTTTACACTGAAACATGTTTTCTTGCTTTTGTTGTAGTATGGAAGAGAAGAGAGTGATTGGACAATCACAGTATCCTGAATGAAAAAGAACAGGCTATCATTTGTGTGTTCTTGGGACGGACTGTTGCATTTGAATTATGAGAAATTTCTTTGGCTCCCTGTTTTTAGTTGTGCATAATGTAGTTTGTATTATCAGTGTTAACCAGGGCGATTGTTTCCTCATGCCAGAGAAGATGAATTGCAGTCATCCAGTGGTAGTTTATAAACTTGCTCCTAGAAGCTTACCTGACCTTCTCTAGAAAGATGAGAATGGAAGCCATCTAAGTGTAGAATTTTCCTCCATAACCTGAGTGCTTCCCTTGGTACTTCAATCAGATAAAAAAGTGTTTATTCTTTAGCATAAGTTACGTTCTGCTCCTCAACCAAGTGAGTGTTTTTGTGTTTGAAAGCTGATCTGAGTAAATTTCATAGGTACCATTTCCTGCGACACATCTTCATCCTCAGAAAGTGTTTGTTGTGTTTTTTTTTTTTAATCAAGACTTTGAGAAACTGGTTTTCCTCCCCGCATATTTCTTTCCAGGTCTCCTAAGTCCGTCTTAGGGAAAATCTCTCCCTCCTTCCTGATGTCCCGGTCTGCGCCAGGCTCTCCTGGTGCATCAGTAGGGCCCACCCCTGCCCTTTCCACATTGTGTTGTGATCAGCAGTCAGGCTTCATTACAAGACTGAGGGTCTTGTGCCTTATAGATCTTTGTATTCCCCTGCCTGATACATAACAAGGAATGAATGAACATGTACCTTCTATAGAAGTGTACCTTCTTTGTTTCTATATTGTGAAACCTCTTTATTAGAATTTGTGATTGATTCTGACTTCGTCTGTATTTACCTCATTCAGCAGTTCACATGTGCATGAATATAAACAGAACTGGTGGCACTTAAAATGATAATGATTAACTTATTTTATTTTTAATTAACAATTTTCATATTGTCTTTATTTGAAGACTGTCTTGGAATTAAAGTAATAGCTCTAGAGAGATCGTGATACCATACCAACCAAATGGAAATGATATATGTTTCGTGTTAAACACATAAATGTTGTGTTAAATACAAAATAAATCATATTTAGTTTTTTGATAGAAAGCAAAGAGGTATATACTCTGGATTTTATACTCTGGTTTTATAGGTGCTCATTTCTGTTGAATGGGGATTGGATAAGCACATGGTTAGGGTACAGGAAGAGTGATTATAGATGATATTTTCCTTGTTTAGGAGCCATGAGTTAAAATTGTATCCTGGTTTATCTAGGGGAAAGTCAAATCTTGATAGAAAACATTTTCCCTTGGAAGGTCAACTCTCAGACATTATATTTTGGTTTCCTTTAGTCCTAATAACTTTCATCTTGCTGATCATATTTCATCCTCTTTTCAGAGCAAGGAAAAAAATCCTAAAAGTTTTGCCGTGCTGGAAAATTTTCCTTAAGGCATTTAGCAGCACATAGCAAATGGGGCTTTGATTCTTTTCCAAGACTTTTGGCCATAGAGTCTTTTTAGATAGGAACGGTAAAATGAAAATGAGGGAAGTATAAGATGAAAAGGAATGGTAAAAATGTCTTTTAGGGGGCTTTTAATTGGCGATCTGAAGTCTTGGGAGAGTCTGTTCTTTTTAGGTAGGGCTGAAGTGCTTTAACTATCCTCTGCACAAATTTGTTCACCCAAGTAGCATTCTGAGAGTATACATTTGCCTTGGCTAAATCCTGGGACCTTATTTTCAATATTGTAGGCTAGAAATGACTTAAGGTAATTCTAACCTGTCAAGTAGCCCATAATAACCAGACTCAACATTCCTATGAGAAATGGAAATCATCTATTTGCCACAAATAACATTTTATACTTTGCATCTCTGAATTTAGTATGGCGAGACATGTTCGTTTTAAGAGTTCGAGAACAATATGTCTTGACTCTATGTCTCTGTGATTTCTTTCATCAAACCTTAAGAGCATTTTAAGCCCTTTCTACCAGACTCTGAAGATGAAGGATATACATTTAAAGAAACAAGGTCTCCTAAAACAGAGGACACAATCTGCCATTCTCGTTTAAATAGTAAGACAGGAAATTGACCTTGACACTAACTTGTTAAATAGATTTAAAGGGAACATCTGCACATCTTTTTTCCTTGTGCACTATTTGTTTAATTGCAGTGGATTAATACAGCAAGAGTGGCACATTATAACTAGGCAATTATCCATTCTTCAAGACTTAGTTATCGTAACACTAATTGATCATTTAAGGCATAAGATAGGCTCGCATTAGGAACATGTGAGGCTAATCTGCTCAAAAAGATCAACAAATTAATATTGTTGCTGATATTTGCATAATTGGCTGCAATTAGTTAATGTTTAATTGGGTTGATCAAATGGGATTCAGCAGTTCACATGTGCATGAATATAAACAGAACTGGTGGCACTTAAAATGATAATGATTAACTTATTTTGCGTGTTCTCTTCCTTCCACTTTTTTTTCAGTTTTTACATTTCAGACCAAGTTCATCAGCTTTTTTCAAAACACATCAGTAGAAACCAAGATTTTAAAATGAAGCTTTCAGGCATTAGACAAAACGTGAGCACTTCCTAAAGCTATTCGCTGTTAGGAATTTTCTTTGTTACAGTCATTTATCAAGGCTTCAACTCATGATACACCAAAAGAAGAGTCCGTTTCAGGGATGTGTATCGTGCTCCCCAGAACCTGCAGGACTGAATAAACTAGTAATACCTATTAAAACCTTTACTTTCAAAAGTACAGAGG